GGACATTTCAAGGGAGACGAATTCGAGATTTTCTGAAATTGAAGAGGCTTGCTTAGTTCCCTTTTTCCATTCTTTTCCCCATTTCCTATGTCTCCCTCCACCATGCATCTGTGCATGTTCAGAGAGTGAGTGTTTTTTCTCTTACTGCAACTTTCTCCCATCCATTTACTCCCTCGTTCGTAACTCAACGTGTTGTGTACGTATGCTCATCGATTTTTCTATTCGTCAGTCTTATGTTGATGTCATGGTCTGGCGCTGCACAGCCCAGTGCCCACTCTCTTTGACCAGGTGCATGCCATCTGATGCAGCAATGTCCACCCGCGGTTCGCCCTACTACCGTAGAAATTGTCAGGGCGGGTGTGTTTTTTACTGTTTATCTCAAAGGTATGGGTAAGTGAGGGCAAAGGTGGTCAGACTTTATCCATCAGTCAAATCCAACCGGGGAGGGAGGAGTCTTAGACTGTCGGGGTGCAACCTCCTCATGAGTCGGTGGAAGTCTGCACGAGTGTGTAGAGTGTGGGTTTTATGGATGCGACAGATTAGTCTCTCAGACTTGTTAAAGCACTAGTACCTCCGCCAGTGTTGGGAAAATACGGAAAAGTGGACGTCTTCCCAAACTCCTAAAATGTCGGAGGCCGGGCCCGACGACGGCTGCCATTGATAAATCTGATCGGCGGCCGTCGTTTCGTTTCCGCCTCCGAAAAGGTAGGAGGCCCACCCGAGGCCCGCTGTTTTCCCACGCGCCCAAGGTACTAGTGAAAAAAAAAAAAAAAAGTTTGCACAGTTGTGACTCTGTGAGTGAAGTGGGGACCACTCTTTTCTTTTTGCAGGACTATATCGGTGATTCTGGGCAGAGTGTTGAGTGAGGTCTTATCCATCAGTCAAATGCATCTTGGGAAGACTGTCGGGGTTGTACCTCCTCATGAGTCGACGCAAGTCGGATGAAATGGTCTGGCACAGTGATGCCTCATGAGGAGGTAAACCCCCGACAGGCCCCCATGCCCCATTTTATCTTGGGAAGGCATGTGGGGGCCTGTAGGGGGCATGAGGGTTTTTTTCCCATGGAGTTGACTATATATAGCGAACATGCCAACGCATGCTCCTGCATGCCCGCTACAGGCCCCCACATGCCTTCCCTTGTGTGTCCACCGGCCCATCCCCCATCCCCCGCGCTCCCCCCCCCCCCCCCCCCCCCCCCCCCCCCCCCCCCCCCCCCCCCCCCCCCCCCCCCCCCGGGCATGCACTCACCCTTGCAGGCAACCATCCCCGCATGTGGGCAGCCCCACATGTGCGCCTCATCAAGAACGCTTCATGCCTTTCCGGGTGTCATGTTAGTATGATGTTACCTGGCTTACTTTTTTTTTTTTTTTTTTTTTTTTTACCAGGCTTACTCTGTACAGTCTTGTAGTACTGTATTAAACCACCAGCACCCACCGCATTTTTCATACCCCCTGGACTTGAATGAATTTGAACCGGAGGGGCAGGCTGATTCGGCTTCCACGTTAACGGCCGCCCCAACCGGTAGGTACTGGTGGTCTCCGGAGTCCAGCTTTTAAAACAACCTGGGCTTAAAAAAAAAAAAAAGCGGCATACTACTATTACTGCAGCCATTATTGGTGTGTCTAGACTGGAAGGTGCCTCAACTACACCTGTAATAACCATGTGTTCTATTTGGGTGAAGACTGCAGCCACCAGAAGTGCCCCGTGCACCCACGAAATATGAACTGCTTTACACAAAAAAAAATTGCTCTCACTTTGGCAGCCCTTCTTCAGGTACCAGTGGTGCAGTCCCACTAGCAAAAAGAGGATTCAATCAAGTGCCTGAATGATTGAATCTGGATATATTCTATTGCAGAGATGCAGAAAAGCAGATCAATTGTGATTTTATGATTTCAGTACTTTTACTGTATTTATTGCTGGGATGTTTGTTTCTTTCATATCTACTGAGATGGCCTAGCTCAGAGTTGGTTTAATCTCCTCTCCGA